AGAATGTTGATAACTTACATAACAAAACAAATTTCTATAAATTTTTTATTGATGAAATTTAAAATGTGATAATAAGTACAATTTTAAAAAATACAAGTCTATTAAGGAGAATAACTTATTTTCTGGGGGCAATAGCATTTTGTTTAATTGGGGTTCACAATCAGTGTTTCCTATCAAAATTGTAGATGTTCTGTTAATGTTAATGTGTAATAAGATTTTTTTTATGTATTCATCTTACTAGAAAATGTCTTTTCACATAGGTTAGGTACTGCCAAATACTGTTATCCACCAGCATATGATTTATTTTTTATTAATAGACTTTATTTTTTAAACAGTTTTACATTTGGGGTGCCTGGGTGGCTCAGTCGTTAAGCGTCTGCCTTCGGCTCAGGTCATGATCCCAGGGTCCTGTGATCGAGCCCCACATCAGGCTCCCTGCTCCGCGGGAAGCCTGCTTCTCCTACTCCCCCTACTTGTGTTCCCTCTCTTGCTGTGTCTCTCTCTGTCAAATAAATAAATAAAATAAAATAAAAATAAACAGTTTTACATTTCTAGAAAAACTGAGCAGATAGTAGAGAGCCCCAACCCCGGACAGTCTTCCTCTATTAACATTGTACTTTAGTAAGGTACATTTGTTATAATGAATGAACCAATATTGATACATTATATTAACTGAAGTCTATAATTTATTCAGATTTTCTTGGTTTTTACCTAATGCTCTTTTTTCTGTTCTAGGATCCCATCCAGGATAGTATGTTGCATTTAGTTATCCTATCTTCTTTGGCTCCTCTTGGCTATGGCAGTTTCTCAGACTTTTTCATGTTTTTAATGACCTTTACAGCTTTAAGGATTACTTGTCAGTTATATTTAGGATGTGTATAGTCTTCTATTAGAAGTTGTCTGATGTTTTTCTCATTATTTAGACTAGGGTTATGAGTTTTTAGAGAAAGACTATAGAGGGAAAGTGCCATTTTCATCATGTACCCAGGGTATATACCCGTACTTTATCTATAACTGTTGATGCTGACCTTGAGCATATGATTCTGATTAAGCATATTTATCACTTGGAAGACATATATAGAATCCTGTTAAATTCTTGTCTCGATATTTACCTTTTAGAAAAGTCATTACATTGCAGGTTGGTCACTTCCAACTGAAGGTTAGGCAGAAGCTTCTCAATTGCAGAGTTTGTTTATTCATTTAAATGATTTTATTTATTTGAGAGAGAGAGCACAAGCAAGGGTAGCAGTGGAGGGAGAAAGAGAAGCAGGCTTTCCGCTGAGCAGGGAGCCCGATGTGGGGTTCGATCCCAGGACCCTGGGATCATGACCTGAGCCAAAGGCAGACACTTAACCTACTGAGCCACCCAGGTGGCCCTCAGTTGAAGAGTTTAAATGGATTTTGAAACATGGATATTTGCTTTGCATTTACATTCAGGTAAAAAAAATGCTGTTGGAACTGTGAGACTGTCATTTGAGCTCAGAAAATACATCCATTGCCAGTTTGTGTAGGAGTGGAGATCTCACTTCTTGTTTTGATTTTAATAGCATGGGAAGCATAAAAAGTAGCTTGATGTTAGTTGTTATTAAAAGCTTAAGTTTTGTGGGGCACCTTGGTGGCTCATTTGGTTAAGCATCTGACTCTAGATTTTGGCTGGGGTCATGATCTCAGGATGGTGGGATCGAGCCCCACCTCTGGCTCCAAGCTCCGTAGGGAGTCTACTTGGGCTTCTTTCTCCCTCTCTCTCTTCCCATGTGCATGCTCTCTCTTGTGTGCACTCTCTCTCTAAAATAAATAAATAAAATCTTTTTAAAAAGCACTATTTTACCTTGTCATTTTAGGTTGTATTAATTAAGAAACGTTACCAAGTCTGCGGCTAAAGCTAATTTAGAAAGCTATTCAGTGTTCTATAATAGTAGTTGAGGGTGGTCTTGATCAGACAAATTTCAGTCTCAGCTCTAAGCTCAAATAATTGCAATAAAACTTTACCAGTGCTAAGCCATTGAACGGCTGTATGGTAGCGTGAGGATATTCAGCATCTATTTCTGACAAAAATTCACGGAACAGATGATGATGGTTAAGTCCGCAAGAGCAAATAACAACCATTAATACTACTCATGTATTTATTATACGAGGGATTCAAATATATTTTCCACTGAGTACTTACTGATCAGTATTACAGAGAATAACTATAGATTTTAAATATCACACATTTTCACAAGCTTTGTAAATTTGTCCAATGAAGCCTTCTTCTGTTCCACGTGTATTTTTACCCCCATCTTTTGTTAAAACACCTTACCAGATTCTACTTCAGGTTGTACTGAATTAGTGTTTTCTCAACTTCTTTGAAAATATTTTTGCCTGTAGTTCATCTGTGCAGACTATAGAGGCTTATTTTTTACTCACATCAAACTTGGCACTTACTCCTCCAGTAACTGGTAATGACTGCATACCAGTAACATCTGTTGACTCATTAAGAGCCGAGGAAAACCACTCGAAATCATTTGCCTTGTTTTTAAATTGACTACTGATATTGCCACCAGTGTCCTCAACTCTTTGAGCAGCTGTCGTTGAAAGACTGAGTCTTGCGTTGATTTTCTCTTAGACGCATTTCTTCAGCTGATGCAATCAAACACAACTTAATTAATTCACCATTGGTGAATGGCTTTTCTTGCTTGCCTAATAAATAAGCCATCTGGAAACGTTCTTTGGTTTCAGTCTTACATACATTTAGCAAATTTTAACATTTTTCCATCGTTAATTTTAAGCTTTTAATTTTGAAAACATTGCAAGAATTCTTGAAATACTTTTTGTTCTCCTACCCAGTCTTTTCTCCCTTTTTTCCTTCTGAGAGATAGCTGCTGTCCTAAAACTCGTATGTTTTTTCTGTACTCAATCCCTCCATTCCTCCTTCCCAATTAGATCTTCTGTCAACCTCTTATTTTCTCATGTGATTTTTGACTAATTCAGGTTTTTCTCTCTTGAGTCAGTTTCTATTTTCTGCGACCGTATCTGTCTTCTCTTTGACTTTTCTATTGAATGGAGTATATGTAAATTTTTTAGTTAACACTTTTTTTGTTTTATTTAAAAAATAATACTTTTTTTTGCTTTTCTTTTTAATTATTTTCTGCTTTTAAAAAAATTCCCTATCTCCTGTTTTCTTTGGGTTTATATTTTTCTTTTCTAGTTTCTTTATCTGAGTTTCTTTATCTACCTAATTTTTATTGTCAGTCTTTATTTTCCAATGCAGATATCTGTTTGAATATTGGGTAGTGAAAGGTTAAGGAGAGATACCTACAAATGCGTTTGAAGTTATAAATTTCCTGTTGAGTTCTGCTTTAATTTTATCATGCTTTTTTTAAAAAAAATGATTTTATTTGTGATATACACAGAGAAATACATAAAACAAGCAGCAGAAAGATTTATTACAAAGTAAACACCCATGTATTTACTTCCCAGGTCAGAAAATAAACATTGCCAGATTCCAGAAGTTCTCTTGTGCTCTTTCCCAATCACTGCCTCCATGTGTTCCTCCCAAAATAACCACTCCTCTGACTTTATTAGTAATCATTTTCTTGTTTTTCTTTCTAGTGTACCACCTAAACAAGCACTCAGGAACTATAGCTTTCCTGTTTATTGAATTTTATATAAGTGATGTCACTGATTCAGTAGCTCTTCTTTTGTATCTAGCTTTTTTGTTCAACATTATGTTGGCATGAGTTACCTACATTGCTACAATTTATTAGTTTCATTGCTGTGTTTTATTCCATTGCATGTATATACCACAATTTGTTGGTATATTTCAAAATTTTATTTGTTACAAGTAGTGTAAATGTTTTTTATTCTGTTGGGTTTATTCCTAGGAGTAGCATTTTTGGTTACTTACAATCAATCTCAGTAGGTGGTGACAGCTTGTTTTTCAGTGTGGTTATAGAAGTTTAGTTGGTAAGTTTCCTTTGTCCCTGCCAGCACTTGGTATTATCAATTTTAAAACTTTTGGTCATTTTTGGTCATTTTTGTGCATGCAAAGTGGTGTCTCACAGAGGTTTAAATTCATCTTTCTCTAATGAGATTTCATACCTTTTCATCTTTGAATATCTTCCTTTGTGAAATGCCTGCTTAATTCTTCTTCATTTTCCTATTAGGTTATCTGTTGGTTTGAAAGAATTGATTTGTAGGAATTCTTTTTATTTATTTTGAGTCTGAGTTCTTGGTTTTGTTCTATGTTTTCCCTATTTGTTTGTGGAAACCTTTTCTGTTTGCATTGCTTCTGGGGGGTGGGTTGGGACATGTTGGGTGGACTGTACAAATAACTTTTGTTCTGAATTTGTGGTTCCCATGCCTCTGGGGAGTCATTAGCAACCTCGCTTGGTGTGATTTCTCTGGTCCCAGTGCCGCTGCTCTAGTCTGCGCGGCACTAGCTGCTTATGAGCAAGATGATGGGGAATAGGAGAGAGGAGAAGGCCCTGTTAGAAGTGTGGCTACCCGCAGCACCCTCTTTTCCACTGATGTGGTGCTTACTCCCTCTTCTCGTATCTATTGAATGTGGTATCTTTTAGGTTTTTCTCAACTGCTCCTACCCCCTGAGCTTTCTTTTTTGTGAATTATGTGCAGTAGCTTGTTTTGTTTTCAGGAAGCTCTTTTTTTAAATTATGAATTCTTCTGTCATTCTTTCACCGTTTACATCCCTCCTTCTGTTTCTCTTTTAAAATATCTCTATTTAAATAGATTCTCATATTCTCTAAGAGGGAAAATGATTGATTTATGTATATTTTTCAGCATGAAGAAGTTAACTATATAAAAAGCTTTGTCTGATACCTGTTTTTCCATTAGGGATGTCCAAATCTAAAATCAAAGATTTCATAAAATTCAGCTGTTTTGGTTGTAAAATAATTTGTCTTTTTCAGTAGTAATAATTGTTTTGGGTTTTGTTCCATTTAAGCTTTGGGTTTTTTTTTTTTCCTTAAATTTTTTTTTTCCTTTCTCATTTTGTTTTACAGCTCTTTTGTGCTTTTCAAGATGATAAGTATCTGTACATGGTAATGGAGTACATGCCTGGTGGAGATCTTGTAAACCTTATGAGTAACTATGATGTACCTGAAAAATGGGCCAAATTTTATACTGCTGAAGTTGTTCTTGCTCTGGATGCCATACACTCCATGGGCTTAATTCACAGGGATGTAAAGCCTGACAACATGCTCTTGGATAAACATGGACATCTAAAGTTGGCAGATTTTGGCACATGTATGAAGATGGATGAAGTAAGTAATAAGCAAGTAAAAAAAAAAATGAAAGAAGCTTCAAATCTTGACTTTATAGTTTTAAACAAAGATAAGTTTCGTTTTGCTATGTAGTGACTTAAAATAAAACTTCTTTTTTATACTCATCATTCATCTAGCTACAGAGTGCTTTATTTCCTATATAGTACTAGATTTGGTAAATACAAGAGAAGTAAGAATACAGATAACTTAGGTATCTCCCTGTAGAATGGTGACAAGCAATTGCTAGCGATTAAAACTAGTTCATGTGCAAAGTGATCCAGGTGAAGAATAGGACACAAAATATAAATTAAGGTACATGGCTATTATTTCCATCACCATTATTATTTCTGTATTTTTCCTTTAAAAAGAAAAAAGCTAAGGTAAGAAGTTTATGTTACTGTCTCCTACCAACCCTGTCTGCACCAATCATATTGAATAAATTTAGGAATATCATCTATTGTGTACTTTACCTGTTAAACAATTCACATTATAATTAATAGATTCAGTAGTTTTAACCTCATAGCTAATTATGATGCTGATTTATTTTTGTTGCAAAATTTATATCTCTTCTCTTTTTCTCTTTAAATATATATATAGGGCGCCTGAGCGGCTCAGTTGGTTAAGCAACTGCCTTCGGCTCAGGTCATGATCCTGGAGTCCCGGGATCGAGTCCCACATCGGGCTCCCTGCTCAGCAGGGAGTCTGCTGCTCCCTCGGACCTTCCCCCCTCTCATGCTCTCTCTATCTCATTCTCTCTCTCAAATAAATAAATAAAATCTTTAAAAAAAAAAAAAAATATATATATATATAATTCCTGGCAGTAGTTCCTAATGGGGAGGAATCACGGGTTTTTTTTGTTGTTGTTGTTTTTGTTTTTTGTTTGTTTGTATTTCTCTGTTGGATCTAGGGGGTGATTTATATGTATTAGACTCTTTAATGTTAGTGTGTGTTGACAACAAACTAGATACTATCTTTTGTATAGTTTTTATAACCTTCCAGTATGCTTATATAGCTAATCGTATTTCTTAACAAAAATATCAAGATGTTTATTTTTAATTAAGCTGATTTTCTTTTCTCCTTACCTCTTATTCATGCCACCTATGTGACATTCACTTTTATAGATCATACTACCTTCATCAGCATTCTTTATTCTTCCAAGCTCAGCTCAGATTTTACCTCATTTACAAAGTTCTTCCTAATAATCCTAATCTGACTGATCAGTCTTCTAATGTTCTTATTTATTTAGAATTTGTGCTGTATTTCATAGACCATTTTCAGGTATCTAGGTTTGTATGCACTGTCTACTCAACTAAAACTTAACATTCCTTTCTTCTTTGGTCTTATTCATAGATATGTATATCACTGTGTCCATCTTTTGCATACATCAGTGTTTAGTAGATGGAACATTTGTCCCAAAGCTCCCTCTTGTGGTGTTTATCATAATACAGTGTGAAATGGTTAATAGTAAAAATTATCTTTAAGGAAAATAAAGTATAAGATAATTTTCTAATAGAATGCAAAACTTTTTTATGTCTGTTCTGCATAATGAGTGATGTTTATGTGCTGTGTTTCCATGGGTGTATTCTGATTTTAATTAAACCAAAACTTTTGGGAGGGTATAGAGATATAAGTCACACCACATATTTTTAGGGTAGGAAATGATGGTTAAGGAAAAAAGGGTATAGAGTGTGGGGAACAGGACAGAATATGGTTTTTATAGAACATGAGCATGTAAGTAAGTACTAAATTTAGCAGTTTAAATCTCTTACATTGTCTCTTTAAAAGGCAAAATAAAATGTGGCTTATATAATTTTATTTACTATTTTTTAATTCAGGTACATATAGCTGAGCTAATTATACTCTTTGGTTCATCGGCTGTTGTCATTAGGAGTCAACAGAAAGGCTTCATCTGGTTTTTATTTTATGATGTTTTCCCCCTTTCCATTTCAGTCTTATTCTCTCTGTCCCTAATAAACAGCCACGGTCATGTGTTTACTATAAGCTCTTGCAGACTGTTAATATAGTGTACATGTGTATAAGTAGTGTATAATGGTATGGATGTCATTTTTTTTTTTTTTTACTTTTTTCACTCAATCTTGTTTTATATCTATTCTGATATATGTAAATTAGCTCATTCCTACTTAGTGTTCCATAGTATCTGTCTATTAATTTTACTTATTCCCACTTGTGTTGGATTCCTAGGCCACATCAGCTCCCTGCTACTAACAGGACTATGTTGAACCTAAACATTGATGTTGGACATCTTCAGACATGTCCCATGTGTATTCTGACTAGGGTTTCCTCTATATACACACTTAGAAGAAGTGGGACTACTGACTCAGAGCATACATATATAAAGTATTCCCTGACCTCCAGAATGGCTATAAATGTTATAACCTCTTACTAGTGGTGCATTAGAGATCATGTCTCTCTGTGTTCTTACTCACCCTTCCTATTACTCACTCTCTGAATCTTACCAATTCCATTGGTGTAAGGTAGTAAGTTTTAAAAATTGTATTTATTTTATAACTAATGATGTCAAACTTTTCTTCATATAATTGTCAGTCATTTATCTCATGAATTACTTATGTATCTTTTAACCTTTTTAAAATCAACTTCTTGTTGATGTTCAGGAATTCCTTATATAATCTCAGTAGTGATTCCACAGATATTGCTCATATCATCTTCTAGTCAGCTACGCATTTGTGTCTGTTTGAACAGAAATTCTTAATTTTGATGTAGCGAAATATATATTTTTTAAATACTGGAGTTTAAAAATGTTGTTTGTTGTACCCCATAACTCCATTCCTCAAGTAATACTAATGATGAGAACAACTATATATGTTGAAGAATAAAGGAGTTTTTTATTAAAAGCTGTCGTACATAGAATTTATAATTTTGTTATTTAGCTGTTAATATGAATAAGTGTTATTGCAAGTTTCAGGTTCATCACTTTATTGGCCTCTGTTTGATTATCATGGTCTCAAGGCCGTTAGAAATGTTCCTAGTTTCGTTCTCATTCATCTGCACGTCTATAGAAGGGATTGGCAAACTGGAGTACAAGGCCAGATCTGGCCTGTGGTTTGGTTTTGTACAGCTCCTTTACTAAAGATGGTTTGTCTGTTTTTAAAAGATGGTTAAAAAACAAAAAAAGATATGAGGTAGAGATCCTGTGTGCCCACAAATCCTAAAATATTTACTGGCCTTTTACAGAAAACTTTGCCAACCCTTTATCTACAATATAGACAGAGATTCTCAAATTATTTTTTAGCTCCTCTGGCCATGGATAAATGCAAAAATAAAATACAACTAAATATTAGAACCCACAAAGACTAAAATAATTGGTTACTATTGCAATTAATAAGAGTATTGACATATGTCAGTAAGTTCTCTCATTAATAAATTGTGGTTTACACAGTTTCCTGGATACTGTTACTCTTTTTCTCTCTGAAAAAAATATGTAGCTGTGAGTGAATGTCGCAGTGTAGTATATTTACGTCTAGATGTGTCTCGGTTGATAGCCAAGAAGTACTGCTATTTAAAATTGCTTGTTTAGTTAGGTAAATGGAGTTCCCTCTTCGCTTGTCATTATGCATTTCATAGCCACCTTTACCATCTTTATGGCACATTTTATGTTAGTGTTTTAGGTTACCTGAAAATAATATAAAATTATATCCCTTAATATTCTAGTGTGTACTATTTGATTAAATGAGGCTATACTTCTTTAAAAGCTAATCAGTAAATTGGCAATGTTCTTAACCCTTCTACAAGTGACATCAGTTTTTAAAATGGAGGTATTTCTATTCGTGTTTCTGAAAAAACCCTATTTTCTGCAAAATTATACATAGAAGTGAGTAGGTTTATTGGAGTAGTAGGGACAGACCATTCAAAAGCTATGCAACTTTGTAACCAGAGCCCTAATAAAAGTTAATAATTGGTACCCCCAGGAGATAACTAGAATAACAGGCAGCCTTTTGTGCCTTGGGCGGGCACTGCACAGTGCAAATGGACATGGGCTTCTAAACCACTTGGGCTGTTTTTTAGATAGAACAAAGAAGAAGCAGGACTTTGCACTAGCTGAGAATTTTATAAGATGAGGGATATGCCTGTTTTGAGAAAGGAGCCCCTGCTGCAAGTACTCATTTTTAATCATTAAAATGGACCAAGTAGGCTCCTGCCTTTTTAGCAGTCAAGCTGAGGCTCTTAATGCTTTTCTGATAGTTAAGAATTCCATTTACAATTTTTTCCCACTTTCACAGGAAGCATTTAGAATAATTTCTTTGGCCAACTCAGGATTTATGACTGACCAGTTTTGTGTTTTCAGTAAATCTCGCCAATTATGATATTTTGTCCATTATAAAACACAAGCTATATTTTAGCAAATAAACATGTAATCTTACCCATTTAAAGTACTCATGAGGAAGCTTTTGAAAATGCATACCTGTTTATGTTGCTCTCCTGCTTAAAACCATTCTGTAGATTCCTGTCATCTACTGAGTAAAGTTCAAACTCCTTAGCTATATGAAGCTTCTTATGATATCCCTTCCACATTTCACCCTCATTCTCTATCATTTGACCTTTTGTGCCGTATAGTTCACTGGTCTTAAATTACATATAGTTGTTTTTATGCCATGAAATCAATGGTTTCATGATTCCTGGCCTTCATATATGATGTTGCATACAGTTTACTTGGCAGATTCCTACTCGTACCTTGAAACTCAGTTCAAAATTTTCTTATTTGGCTTCTTAGGTTGACTCCTATGTCTTAGCCATGCCCCCCTTTTGGAGCATTTTCTTATTTTTTGGCACTGTAAGTCGTTGAAGACTTGTATTTTCTCTGTCCCAGCTCTGGAATCAGCCACTTTTCCAGAAAGCTCAGATTTCTTTTATTTAAGAATGGTATTTAGAAATCAGTATTTGGGCACTAGATACGCTTATTCCTCCTCGAGTGCCATTATTTCTAGGCCTTGTCAGCAGACACATGTAGACTGAATATACTATATGTGCTAATCCATATGCACACACATGTTCATATTTAATTCCGTACTTACCTATCCGTTATCTAGGCTACTAAAAATAATGAGTTCATACTGATACTTCTGATTCTTTTCCTACACCACAGGGCTCATTGTAGTCTTCTTCCTTTCTTTTTTATAATTTCTACTTCAGTCACTGAGAAACCTGGCTCTTTTGGGGCGCCTGGGTGGCTCAGTCAGTTAAGGATCTGCCTTTGGCTCAGGTCATGATCGCCGAGTCCTGGGATCTAGCCCTGCATAGGGCTCCCTGCTCAGCGGGGAGCCTGTTTCTCCCTCTCCTCCTGCCACTGCTCCTGCTTTTGCTCTCTCTGTCCAGTAAATAAATAAAATCTTAGAAAAAAGAAAGAAAGAAAGAAACCTGGCTCTCATTATCTACAGTATATTTACTTGTTCCACTCTGGGAAACACATAAAATTATTTCAAAATTACTAATTCCTACCTCTGTGACAAACAGATTTACTAATTAAATTAGAATGTTTTTTTGTGCAGTTCCTTTTGAGGTTAGCCTTATAGTATCTGTTACAGATATTGTTTTCCAAAGTTATTTAGGTTAATTTTTTTCATCCCTACCCCATTTGGTGTGGTTATGTTATTAATTTATAAAACAGGTTCATTTCTTACTGTTTGTATTCCATTTGGAGTATCCTCCCCCCCTCCACCACATCCTGGCTAATTTTAATTGCTTATTTACAGTCATTGTGATGTGTGGAGCATTCCTCTGGCTTTAAGAGTTAAAACTGTACAAATTGTATACTCAGAGAAGGATCCTGTCCTCCTTACTCCTACTACCGCATTCCCATACTCCCTTCCTTCCACCCTTTTCCCACCCACACCCGCCGTGGGCAAATCAGATCTTTTTAGTTTCTGGTTTATTCTTTCTGTATTTCTTTAGAATAGGAGAAGAGCCTTGTTATAAATGTAGATTATGTATTCATGTAATTTGAGAACTTCTCCATGAGACAGTTTTAAAATGTCTTTTCCAAATGTTTATTTAAAAAAATTTTAAGCTCCAGTATGCTAGTCAAAAATTGTGGTTGAACTATTTATTTTCCCAAAAGCAGAGTGTTGTTCACATAGTTTACCTACTAAAAATGCTTTAGTCCTGCCAAAGTATTTATTCTGCAAGTGGTTATTCAAATTGATCTCCATCTTACCTCTCCCACCTTCATCATTGTAAAACTTTACTTTTAGCTGATTTGGACTTTACTGCCTTTTCTTTTTTCTTTTCTTTCTCTTCTTTCCTTTCCTTTCCTTTCCTTTCCTTTCCTTTTCTTTTCTTTTCTCTTTTCTTTTCTTTCTTTCTTTCTTTCTTTCTTTCTTTCTTTCTTTTCCTTTCCTTTTCTTTTCTTTTCTCTTTTCTTTTCTTTCTTTCTTTCTTTCTTTCCTTCCTTCCTTCCTTCCTTTCTTTCTTTCTTTCTCTTTCTTTCTTTTCTTTTCTTTTCTTTTTGATTTTATTTATTTATTTAGAGAGCATGAGCAGGGGGAGGGGCAGAGAGAGAGAGGATCCCAGGCAGACTCTGTGCTGAGTGTGGAACCCACACAGGGCTCAGTCTCAGGAACCTGAGACCATGACCTGAGCCAAAATCAAGAGTAAGAGGCTTAACTGACTGAGCCACCCAGATGCCCCTTCACTGCATTTCCTGATTATGCTTTATATGTCATTCTTGTTCCTTTATTTTTTTTTTCTTAAAGATTTTATTTATTTATTTGAGAGAGAGAGAGAATGAGAGATAGAGAGCACGAGAGGGAAGAGGGTCAGAGGGAGAAGCGGACTCCCCGCTGAGCAGAGAGCCCGATGCGGGACTCGATCCCGGGACTCCAGGATCATGACCTGAGCCGAAGGCAGTCGCTTAACCAACTGAGCCACCCAGGCGCCCTTGTTCCTTTATTTTTGCTTTTTTTTTCTTTCTAAACTGTCATACCTCTTTCTCTCTCTTAAAGCCTAACTTGTCCCATCCTTTACAGCCTAACTTTATGCCAGTTATTTTTTTTATCTTACCCTTTCCCCTCCCTCTAAACCTTGAATGCTAAATAATTTTTCTTCTAATGGCATTTTTTTGGTGTGTGTGTCCAGTTAGGTTTTAGCTGTTGAGTCTCACAGGATTCATTTTTTTAAAGTCTAATTTCTGTGGATACATGTGAAATGAGTTTTGTTTACTCTAACAAGTCTCTTAATGTTTCCTCTAACAGAGGTGTATAGAGTCCATGATAATAATATACTCTGCCTTTTAAAGTTAGGCACTGTTGTTTTTCATCTTTTATCCTAAGTACTAATCCATACAAATTATTGCCCTCGTAATTTGCTCAATTATATTCAGAACTTTTATCTTATTAATTGATATTCAAACTACAATGACTTCTATTCTCTATTTGCTATAAACTTGGGAAAGTAAAATCATTGAGTTATTGTTGCTAATTTGAAGAATGAAAAGATTGTTTTCGAAATTAATTTCCCATGATTAACATATATTTTATTGCACTTAAATACGTCTCCATAAATCATATTTACAAAATACATGGAACTTCCTTTTTCCAAGGTGTTCATAATACTTAGTATTTTAGGAATTTATATTAGCTTACTTATGAGGAATGTGGATGACATACTCTTTACCTGGCAGGTAAAGGAAATGGAGGGCATTTAAATTAATCTATAGACTTTGCAAGTTTGCACAGAGCTGGAGGTCAGCGAATATTATATAGCATTATACTATTATGGTGACTTAATTTTACAGCACACACACATACATGCTACAAAACACACATGCATACATGTATTTACAATGGTTCTTGTCCTTGTCAAAAGACATCAGATAGAGATTGTCTTATTACCCACCGAAACTAAACACAGATAAAGGTGTTTTTTATCATTTTGCCAAATATCTTGATGCCACAGCTCCATATTTCTAAATACGCAGCTTGGTGGTGTAGCTTTCAAATTGTTAAGATCTTTTAATTTAAACATTTGATTTCCTCCATTTTTTCTTAATACAATAAGAACTATTTCTTTATCCAGCCTCCAAACTAGGCTCTTTATAATCTTAATTATTACAGTTTCTTTTGAAAACACCAAAGTTTCCTTTCTCTCTCATTCTTTTCCCCAGGTCACTACCTTAAGATCACATTTTGTACTTCCCTTGTAACTACTTAGTAGTGTAAGAAAGAGAAACAAAAGATGTTGATTTGCTTGGGATTCCCGTGGAGTTTACTACTTTTTCCTTCTTCCACTGATGGAGCCTCCTGTGTTTTAGAGTTGAAAAGTTTTCCTTGATTTCCTGTAATCTGGACACTTGTAGGCATTTCATAATACTTTTATCTCCTGTCCTCCCAAAGCTGTATCAGCAATGAAGTTCTGTTGGTAGCAATTTGTAGCTATATATATATATATAGTAATAAATGAATTAGTTGCATTTATGTGTGTGTGTTTTTACATGCAACTGTTTTTCTATCTTTGCTCTTTACCAGACAGGCATGGTGCACTGTGATACAGCAGTTGGAACACCTGATTATATTTCACCTGAGGTTCTCAAATCACAAGGGGGTGATGGTTACTATGGGCGAGAATGTGATTGGTGGTCTGTGGGTGTTTTCCTTTTTGAGATGCTGGTGGGTAAGTAAATATTTTAACTTGTCTTTTTTTCAAAACCAATCTCATAACACTAGTTTTAAGTCAAGAATTTGAGAATCTAAGGAAATTAATTATGTCCTATGGAAGAAGTGGGATTTTTAAAAACTTTGAATTAGTTGTATCAGATAATGACAGATTATTAATTGGAAAATTAAAACCAAATTGTACTGGCACAGTGATTTAGTGGAATGTAAAAGGAATCGAAAGTATATTGTGGGGAAATAATCCTTCAGTGGGCCTTTTTGTGTGAAGAAAGTGTTAGAACAAGAAACAAGTTTACAGCTGCCGTGGGCTTCTCGTCTTAAGATTTTCTTGATCAGTAGTATTTGTTGTGAATATTTTAAGTATAAGCCTGTTAATATTTGTTCCAATAATAGAGAACTAAAAGTATTCTTTAGTTTGTTTACATAATTATGTAATTATTTTTGTTAACTATGTTTCTTCTGTTTATTACTTGTATTTACATATGGTTTTAATTCTAGTAAAATAAATCATAAATAGTTATTGACCATTTGATTATTGATAAAAATATTTTATAATATTTCATTCTCAGAAAACTCAGAGGCAAATCTAATAATTTCTTTCACTTTGACCAAGTCAAAATTTGAAAGGCTCAGGTGTTTCAAAACTTTTCTTTACATCGTAGATTTCATTCTTAAGATTTCCCATTCCTAAGTACTGGGGTCACAAAAATATCTTCTGGCTATGGAAGCCAATGACTAAATCATCTGGCTTGGGGATAAGGGCAGATACAGCTAAATCTATTTTCTGAGGCAAGTGTGATAAGGCTAATAACATTATATGAAACAACTTTAAAGTTGAAAATATATTTTTAGAAATTGGAGAATTTATTTTCTAGAGGATGACCCTAGAAAAAATTAGTAGCGGAAAATCTGTAAAATCTGTATAATTATATGATTATTGCTTAAAAAAATCAGAACATTTTGGCAAATCTCAAATTTAAATAATAGTCATGGAATGTTTTTGTGGCATAAATTGCCTTCTCTTGATGACCATTTTGTGTATGTAGTATTGATCTTGCTATGCTTTAAACTCATGTCGTAGTATGACCTAAGTTGTTTAGGGCCTTTGTTTTTGTAATGCATCTCTTTACATGCAGGGTATGTTCCCAGGTAGCTGTCCATTCTCCCCACCTCCGGCCCAATCTGATAATACATTAGGTGCATCTTGTAATCTTTTTAAAGTGGAATTATTCTATCATTTGCCTAGACTCTCCTAGGGATTTAGAAAATAACAATTTGGAGAAAGTCATATAGCTCCTTTGAAGGGACCATTTAAATACCTGCTACTGTTTTCAACCCATGAGTTGAATTTAATGACTTTGAATGACACTGATTTACAGTATTCTGAGCTTACTCTGGTGCTTGCCTAGGTTGGTTAGCTCTGGACTTCATTTAAAGGACTCTACTGTCATTAAAAATGGCACTAGAAAAATCTTGAGTTCAAAGCACCCCTTTGCCCTCTTTGAAAACAAGCAAAAACTACCTGAATACCCCCTTTTGAAATTTTGGATTGTCTGATTTGGGAAAGTCTGGTTTGTACTAAGGTGACTTATAGTTGAGTCATAGTGGCAGGGCCTTTAATTCTTGTGGCTTTAGATGAGTACTGGCCAAAATGGTGCCTTCAACTTTTTCTGTCTTTACACTCCATTGCCTCTTTAGCATAGCCACTAGTCTGCAAGAACACTGCATTGGGAGACCATTTCTGCCATTTTCAATTCTAGCTATGTGTCATCTTAAGCAAATTGCATGTGAAATAATAGGGCTGGTCTAACTCTTAGAGCTGCACTGTCCAGTTTATCATGATGAAAATGGTTTATGTCTGCACAGTCCAGTATGGTGAGCACTGGCCACATTGAGCTCTTGAAATGTGGCTAGTGTGACTAGGGAACTGAAATTTTTATTTTATTTAATTTTAATTAGTTTAGCTTTAAGTTTAATTAAACTTTAAATTTTAATTGAACTTAAATGTGGCTAGTGGCTACGGTACTGTATAACACAGCTCTAGAGAGTAATCTCAAAAAAGACTGATCCAGCTCAAGCGTTAGAGGACTGATCGATCTGACCCTACTTAGTAATCTTCCCCATTGTAAAAACAATAACAAATTCTAGAGTCAGCATTGATTTTATTTTGCTTTTAAGAGTTGATCTTACATTGGTGTGGTTAAAATTTAAATACGTCCTTGGTATGTGCTGGTGTGTTTCGACTGAGACACATAGATCACTTGTTCTTCCATGCATGTGACTCATTTAAACTTAACATATTTAAATGATAGATGAAAAGTGTTTAATTTGTATTCTCTGTTACACTCAGTGTCTTCTTTCTTGGAATTTTAGGGGATACTCCATTTTATGCAGATTCACTTGTAGGAACGTATAGCAAAATTATGGATCATAAAAACTCACTATGTTTCCCTGAAGATGCAGAAATTTCTAAACATGCGAAGAATCTCATTTGTGCCTTCTTAACAGATAGGTAATATACATTGAATTTCTTTGTAGAGAGCCCTTAACTTTTAAATTTGTAGAAATGAAAGCATAGCTTTTATTTACATATGAAATCGCTCATTCTCTTTGTCCAAATTGCTTTTAATTCTAGGTTAGCCTTTTCCTACTGCTAGGCCTGGTATTGGGTTACTCTCGTCATTATGTGTGTGCAACCCCATTGTAATCTAACTCTAACCTTACCTTCATGTCTAAAAAGAAAAAATAGAACTTGGTAAGATAATGCATTTGAGAGAAATAAGACTTGTATTATTCACATTTTATCCTTTGAAGTGATTAAGCCATCTGACTCTTACTGTACAACTTTTGAGAGAAGAGTGTTTTGTGCAGATACTTGACAGGTTATAATCTCAAAAACTATTTGTATTTGACTTGGGAGCGCCTCCTTCCCAGCCCTTTTTTGCATTTGAAAAGAGTAAGTCTGCCCTGGAAATTCTGTGTTTCTTAAAACAAAGTAGGTGAACGACGCTGTGAAACCTGTCCCAAAAAGGGAAGATAGAAAACTCTTTGGAGTTTCTTCCTTGGCCTTTCTATTCAGTTCTTTTAGATTTGTGGTAAGAGTCAGCCTGTCAAAGGACCACCCTTTATAGGGGAGTGCATGCACCATAGTCCAAACTTTACTCACCAGCATTATGATCTTAGGGAAATAACTTTACTTTTTAGGGAAATTTTACTTCTGCATAAACAGTGGGATCAGATCAGATTGATAACTGAGGGCATTTCTAGCTCAAAAGTGCTATGATTTCTCAGTAAACCATATTGTTTGTTAGCCATTTGCTGTTAAGAACAATACTACAGTGACTGTCCTCATACATTTTTATCTTGCATACATTCTGTAGGATAAAGTTTTAAAGGTGGAATTCTAGGATACACACTTTAAAATTGATTTGGTGTTACAAAATTGACCCCCAGAATAGTCACAGCAGGATATATTTCCATTGATGATAGTTACTTTCCTCATTCTCATCAAACTGAATATCATGAATTTTTTTTCCATCTGAAGCAAGAAAAGTTACTGCTATTTTTTCTCATTAGAGAGCTTAATCATTTTAATATGTTTATCAATTATAAGATTTATTAATTATCAGATTAACAGACAGTCCATGCTGATAAACTTAGAACAAATCCTGTATGTTTGATTTGGGACTAGATAGGTTGATGAGGATGACCATAATTTGTGCTGAAAGATAAAATATAAAACAAGACATAGCACAAGTTAATGAAAGATTTGCCTTAGCAATTGGGGGGGTGTAGTCTAAGGAATGATTGCAGGTAGAGAAAAGAGATTTGGAAAAGAATTTAATGCCATCATTGTGGCTAGCAGTACTTCCCTCTAAAGTTTACTGGGTTTTCTGTTTATATTAAACATGGCTCCAGGGACATATAAAAAAACAGATGTTTTTTATTTCCATAAAATCTTCATTGAAAACTCAAAGGGTCAGAGAATGGAATTGTTAATATTGTTTTTCTTGTATTCAGAATGATTATTTTAATATAAATGTAGAGATATAATTTATCAGACTAAAGATTGATAGTTTCTAACAATATGTGAGTTCTTTTTAAGAAGAGATTTTTTTTAAAATTTTGATTAAATTTTTATTTTTTTAAATATTTATTAGAGAGATAGAACACATGAGCGGGAAGGGGGAAGGACTGAGGCAGAAGGAGAGGGAGAGAATCTCAAGCAGACTCTATGCTACATTTTTATTAGAGAGACTTCGAAAAACTCTTCTGTGTCTGAAGTTAAACCTGTCCATTTTACATCCTGGAGTTGGTCATGCAGTTTTGGCACACACAGATGAATATTTTTATTTGAAAGTCTCATGTGTACTTTTGTTTGATACAAGCTATAGATGGAAATACATTTCCCTTTCCATGGCATTTACTATACTTTACAGTCCTTTTAATCTAGAGAGATCATATATTGTAAAATTGGCATTGCTTGTTTTTGAAAAACATTTAAGGCAAAACTTCTAATAAAGATATCTCAAAGTCATTTGTGATCCTTATTTTGATCCTAGGCAAGATAAGAATTTCTTTTGTAATCTTTTTATAATACGATCTTTAACTGCATTGTTTAGGGAGGTACGACTTGGGAGAAATGGGGTAGAAGAAATCAAACAGCATCCTTTCTTTAAGAATGATCAATGGAATTGGGATAACATAAGAGAGAGTAAGTCAGTAAATTTAAATATTTCCATTCCATCACATTTTAAATCTCAGAAATTGATTCCTCTTTTGAATTAGTACATGTTTGATACACTTAATACTAATTTTAAATTGAGAGGTTTCATTTCAAATTTGTTCTGTGGCAATATCTATAACTAAATGTTCCTCAACACCTTAAACTAATTTGTATTCATTAACAATATTTCTTAATACTTTTATAATAAACAGATTTCTTATTTTGTCAAGTTTTTTTATGGATCTCAAAAATTTTCAGAATGGGGGAAATAGCCCTTAATTTGAATTTTGAATTAATAAATCAGTAATTAATTATGTAGACTGTACTTTGGTGAATACTAGAATAAGCATAGTAATTCATCTTAACTTTATGTATATTTGACAATTAATCCATTTTAAGAGTGAGAAATGTTTTGCTTAAAGAATGTAAAAAGCCACAGACTAAAGAATGTGTGTGCAAGCTACTGCTGCTTGCAGTTTTAATACCTAGAATAATATCATATTGTTTTCCTTGTTTAATTGATTTATCTGTACTTAAACCTGCTCTAATGTAGTAATAAAATACTTAGTAAAATTTTAATTTTTTGAAATGATAGAATGTAAAACATGTTACCAAAATTTTCTATAGTAAATCATGTTACTGAATATATATTATTAATGTATAATGTATTGGTATTAATATATATTACTAATATGTAATTGATATAAAACAAAATCTGGGTGGTTAATGTATATTTTGATTATGAAGAAAATAATCCATTTCTTTTCTTTTAACAGCGGCAGCTCCTGTAGTACCTGAGCTCAGCAGTGACATAGACAGCAGCAATTTTGATGACATCGAAGATGATAAAGGAGATGTAGAAACCTTCCCGATTCCTAAAGCTTTTGTGGGAAATCAGCTACCTTTTATAGGATTTACCTACTATAGAGAAAATTTGTATGTGATTTGTTTGTTAGATTTTTATTGCTTTCAGGATTTAGCTGTAAAGAGTTATCTTACTGTGAGATTCTGGATTACAGAAGATAAAGTGTTAATTTGTTTGAAACTTCTGAGTTTTTTAAAAAGGACTATTGAAAGTTATTTTTCATTTAGTTCCATTATTTCTGAATGTTATTCATGTACAAATGTATGCAAGGTACTGTTCTATATTCTTCGGGGGATAGAGAGTAAGACTACGTTTGAAGGAGCTTATCAACTAATAAGGAATATAAGAGAATAATATAGTCATAGTAAAGGATAGAAATGTGATATTTGCCTTAAGAAAGGTACCAAAATATCTGAGATGGTTCAGGAGAAAAATAAAAGTCACATCTCTGGGGGTGAGGTAAGAAGTCAGGTAAGACCTCAGGGAGGGGAAGCATTTGTGAAGCTAAGAAAAGGTTTTGAGTGGCCAAGATGTAGGGAGGTTAGGTGAGAGTTGTGGGGAGATGAACAATGAAAGCAAAAGTGTGGCATGTTAGGACACATTGGGAGCAGAGTAGTGTGGTCCAGTAGGGCTCAAACACAAGGTGCATATTACTGTATTATATTCATTTGGAGGACCTAATGAGACTTTGAATTTCTTGCCTGTAATCCCTCCATGTAGCATAGAGCCTGGCACAAGGCCAGTAAATACTGGTTGACTACAGTGAGTATTGGGTATAAAGATTAAAAATTATATTGGAGTTGAAGTTCACAGGAAGAATAAAGCAGCTGATGATTGTTGTGTGCTATACTGAGGGACTTTTGACTTTGACAGGCAGTGAGGAGTGAGGCATTATAGACATTTGAGAAACATATGTTTGAGAAACTTTTGGTACTTCCATATATGTAATGGTAGGGGTGACCAACCATTTTGGTTTGCTCAGGATTGAGGGGCTTCCTAGGATATGGCAAGGGACTTCGATGCTGAAACTAAGAAAATCCCCAGCAAACTAGGATGAGTTGACCACCCTGCTAACGATAGTATTCTAAAAACTATTGTAATGCTCACTAAAATGAGGATACGAGAGCCTGGATAAACCCAAGCGTATTTACAGGCAGTGGGAGAGGACCCAGTTAAACAGAGAAATTGACAGTTAAGTAGAAGTGATGATTTATGTATTAAGACCTGGGAATCAAGAGATGTCATCTTTGAGAAGGAGGAGAGATGTCTCTTTCTCAAAGATTTCTAGATAAAATAGTTACAGGAAGTCAAAATGAGATGAAGAGGGGCAACTGTACATGTAGCACATGTAGTGACTCCAGTCTCAACAACATTAAAAACTGGAACATCCAGTAAGGGGGGGGGGGACAAAAAGTGCAGCATTTTAAATTATTGAGAATGATAAATATCTAGATGGGAAAATGTTGCTTCATTTAAAATATGTTGAGGTGATCAGAAAGAAATTTTTGTGGCTGGAGTTTAATTCTGATAATAATTTGGGGGTATTAGGAAAATGGATTAAAATGACATGCAAAGGATTTATTTCCTGCCTTTCCTTCTAGGTTATTAAGTGACTCTTCATCTTGTAGAGAAAATGGTTCATTACAATCAAGGAAAAATGAAGTATGTATAGGTTTTTACTACTCTATTTTAGTCACATGTTCAACTAATTTAGTAATATCCATGTGTTTAAAAAGTTTGTATGATGCTACTTTTTGAATCGTTAGATGGCATGCTCTGTTGTAATACAGTTCAAAGAACATTGAAATGATTCATTTATTTGACAGGTATTGTGTAAGATACAGTGGCTAGTAAAAAGGTGAATTATACATGGCTTTAGGCTTAGTTGTAGTAGCAAAAGTGATAGAATAGGTTTATAAGCAACTATAATACCAGAAAATTTTTATAATAGTACTATAAAAGTATAGATAATAAGGTATAAGGGTACAGAAATAGTGGAGGAAGTAATATTTTGAGTGTTTAGGAATGATTTGGATAAAGGGTGATTTTATCAAACTTATAGTATTTTGTGGCCTCTAATTTCTGTGTACAAAAGTAAATCATATACACACATACACATTAATGAGGATGCTAAACATTTTTCTCCTTAAAACTTATAGAAAGTAAAAAAGTTGGTTAGATAATTCTGGTATGATTTATCTTAGGAATTTTATAAAGCCTACAAGCATTGTAAATTTCTGTGTTTTCTGTTTTGTTTTAAATAGGAAAGCCAAGAGGTATGTTGATGTCACGTATGTTGAGAAACCGAAAAAGTGCATCACTCTAGCAATGTTTTGATATAGCCATTTTCCACCTAGCATTTGGAGTAGTACATCTGCCTGAGAAAGAAGTTCCCAACCTTTTTTTACAAAGTATTTCTTTCTTTATTACCCTTAACGGATCTATTGTTTAAATATGTATTAATGTAATTTTCTTAGTTTTATTTATCAAGAATATATAACTGATTAACATTATACTTTTATTTATACAAGAATATATAACTGATCAAATTATACAATAGCAGCCAAAAGCAGCTAAATTTGACTCGTTCATTGGCCTGTATATTCTCATTAGGGAAAAATAATAGTTTTGCTTAAGATTTATATTTAAGAAACCATGGGGAACCTAATCACTAGAAAGAATAATGGAAAGAACATTGGCCTTGGAATCTAATAGATTTGGATTGATTTTTGGCACAGCCACTTATTAGCTAAGCCATCTTGGCCCAGTTATTCACCTTTTTTGAATTTGTTTCTTTATTGAGTAGATACAACACTACTGTATTCTTAGGGTTGTTAGGATTAATGAGACAACATTTGTAAAGTGCTGCTGCTGTACTTAAGGCACAAAAGGAACTCAAAAAGTTAAATCCTTAATGAAGAAGGTAATGCTCCAAAAATGGATTATTTAATACTTTCTGTGATTTTAGTTTCTTTAAAGACCAACATATCTGGCCTAGAAGAAGATGTAAAGAATGGCAAGGAAATGACTTATAATCAATTAGCTATCATTCATTGAAGAGTTATTGACTATAACTCTTTATAGTACTGTTCCTGGCACGGTGTAGGAAGATATAAAGAAGAGCTTAAATTCTTATTTTTTTAGAGCAGTAATACATTTTTGAGCAAGTTCAAACATTCCAAGTATTTGTTTCAGATATAGACCTTTTCATCTTATAAGTACACATTGTGACAGTATATTTATATAATCTGTGGAAGAACAGTGGAGGATATCAGAGGATATCCTTTATTCATAGTGAACGAGAGACTTGGTGTCATAGAAGAATTCTGCCAAGTTTAGAGCCTCTCACTCATATGTTTCCGTGGTGTGGACATGTACATGTTTGCATACATGTGTAGTGGGATAGCAAGAGTTGGAGAATTTTTTTCCTCTGTCAGTAAAAGTCACATTAAGAAGGTACAGAAACTTTATGTACCATTATGGATGAGGTTATATTCAGCTCAGAAAACAGCTTGTCATTGTTTTCTTTAAGCCTTTTATATTTTAAGTGTGACCAAACTTTATAATTATAGTTTCTTGTTTCCTGACAGATTCAGAAAAAATTATACACATTAGAAGAACACCTTAGCACTGAAATACAAGCCAAAGAGGAACTAGAGCAAAAGTACAAGTATGTTTTGTGGATAGTTAAATGTTGTGTTTTAAAATTTAAGTTTAAACATGTTCTTCATTAAAAATGAAGAGTTACAAAGTAATTATTTGATTATTTTTAAATTTATTTTTATTATGAATTAGAGATTTTACTTACTGTTTCTTTTGAAATTCTTTAGATCTGTTAATACTCGCCTTGAGAAAGTAACAAAGGAACTAGAAGAAGAGGTAAAGTTGCTCTATGCTTTTATTAACATTTTTGTCCACTACAAGTTTTGATGCCTGACTTACCTGCAGACTTCTCTTAGAACTGTATTAATACATATCTTGATTTATAGTCAGACCTACCTTCTAGCATTGGTGAACAGAACTAAAAGTACAGGATAACCATGATGATAGACTTCATTTTGTTATGTTTTTGCAAATTTGAGTTAATTTAGTATGTGTAGATATTGCAAGTAAAGAAAATTTGCATTTGTATTAATTACTTGGCTTAACAACAGAAAGTAACCATTGTTTCTTCCTTTAAGTTTCTGTTCATAACATTTTAGATCCATAGTTTATATCAAGTGAGGATGGTTCAGTGGTAATGGAATGTTTCAGGAAGTTTGACTTTCAGTAGTGAATAATGAACACTGTGGTCTTGATAGTTTAAGAGAGGTGTGCTATTTTGAAAATAATGGAAAATATTGTGAGTTTTAACAAAACAGCAGTTATAGCTTATTTTTAAAGATGTCTTTTATCTGCTTGAAATACTGAAGTATTCTTTTCTTTGATTTTTATGCATACTTTCCTTTGGTAATAACTTTAAGCATTATTTCAGATTACTTTAAGGAAAAATGTGGAATCAGCATTAAGACAATTAGAAAGAGAAAAGGCACTTCTTCAACACAAAAATGCAGAATATCAGCGGAAAGCTGATCACGAAGCAGACAAGAAACGAAATTTGGAAAATGATGGTTTGTGGTGTAGAATATTAAATACTTCCCAAGAAAAAAATTAAGTGTGTATGTATGTATGTGTTGTGTTGAAGCTTGCCACTGAAATGCTTTTTATCATAGTTAACAGTTTAAAGGATCAACTTGAAGATTTGAAAAAAAGAAATCAGAACTCTCAAATATCCACTGAGAAAGTGAATCAGCTCCAGAGACAAGTAGGTTGATCTCAGTTGTAGTAAGGATATTGAATTTTCTTAATGATAACTTACTAATACTACTTTTAGTTGGCAATGTTACAAAAAGGCCTTCTTTGCCTCTGATTTTAAAGGGAGATTTTAAAGGGAAATCATTAGGAAAATATTCTTAGTTTTTTTCTTATTTTAAATAGTTTGTAATGGGGTACTAAATGGAAGTATTTTCATTATATATGCCTGTGTTTGTTGTTGTTTGATTTTGAATGGAATAACAGCTGGATGAAACCAATGCTTTGCTGAGAACAGAATCTGATACTGCGGCCCGGTTAAGAAAAACCCAGGCAGAAAGTTCAAAACAGATTCAGCAGCTGGAATCTAACAATAGAGATCTTCAAGATAAAAATTGCCTGCTGGAGACTGCTAAGTTAAAACTTGAAAAGGAATTTATCAATCTTCAGTCAGTTCTAGAATCTGAAAGGAGGGACCGAACTCACGGATCCGAGATAATTAATGACTTACAAGGTATTAAAAGTAGAGATTACACTTGAATTCATCTTGGTGATTTGTATTTTGGAAATAACTTTAGATGAGGGATAATGTGTTGGAGTAGCACATTTCTGAATATACTACTACGTTATGTGAAGTTAGGGTGTTGGAAATGCATTGATACAAACTTTTGTGAATAGAAGGTTTACTTTAAAATAGCGTGAAATATTTTAGGTTGTCAAACCACCTCTCAAGGTGGTGGTTTGGGTTCCAGTTGACTTCACTATAAGGCACTCTACCAACAGTTATAAAACTGCTCATAAATAATAGGTCCAAACTATGAGGTGACTTCTAAAATTTTTTACTCTTAATTTAATATGTATATACTTTGTGGGCTTACTGTTTTTAAAATTTTGCAATTTTAGGTAGAATATCTGGCCTAGAAGAAGATTTAAAGAATGGCAAAATCTTATTAGCAAAAGCAGAGATGGAGAAGAGACAACTACAGGAGAGACTTACTGATTTGGAAAAGGTAAAACTTGTTCAGCTTTATATTTTCTAAGAAAATGACTATAGAATTTCAGATTGGAAAACTTTAAAATAAGGGAAATCAGGGGCACCTGGGTAACTCGGTTAAGTGGCTGCCTTTGGCTCAGGTCATGATCCCAGGGGTCCTGGGATTGAGCCCCACATCGGGGGAGTCTGCTTTTCCCTCTCCCTCTCCCTCTGCCCCTGCTCGTGTGCTCTCTCTCTCAAATAAATAAAATCTTAAAAAAAAATAAAATAAGAGAAATCAGTATACTTTCAGTGGATGTTTCTCCTTAGGGATCCAAGGAAAACTCAAATTTTGACTTATAACATGTCTTAAAAATGATAGAAAGTTATCATGGCTTTGGTATTTAGAAGTTTTTCTTGAAAAATGCTATAAGCCAGGGATAATTTCTAGACTGTGCAGTTAATGTGGTATTTTTGTTCACTTATTTATTCATTCGTTTAAGTATTTAAATGTGTCATCTGGGTTGAAATATCAGGATGCAGTCTTTGCTTGCCTTTAACAGTCTCACAGTTGGGTGCCTGGCTGGCTCAAATGGTAGAGCAGGTGACTCTTGATCTCAAGATCATGAGTTCAAGTCCCATGTTGGGCGTGGGACCTACTTAAAAAAAAATTGATTAAAGTAAGTCTCACAATCTAATGAGTAGCTTCTAAAGTAATAATAAGGTACACAGATAATTCTAATGCAGCATGGTAAATAGAATGCTAGAAGAATGAATAGGGTATGTTGGATGCACAGAATAAAGCCCCAGTCTGACAGGGCAGGATTGGTTGGCAGGGTAAAGGCACATTCTGAGTTGGGGAAGACAGCATGAGCAAAAAGGTACAGAGGATGGAAAATAGAAAAGGGATAGTTGGTTTATTTAATGCAAACTGTTCAGTATTTCTGGAGTACAGAGCAGGGGTCAACAAATTTTAATCTTTTAAGGGAGAGATGATAAATATTTCAGGCTTTGAAGGCCATATGGTCTCTGTTGCATCTCAGCTCTGCTGCAGTACATAAAGGAATGGGTGTGGCTATATTCCAGGGAAATTTTACAAAAATAGACATCAGACCAAAATTGGCCTGAAGACAGCGGTATGGTCCTAATGTTAAGTGTGAGGAATTCAGTGACCAGAATGAGGCCACAGAGCTAGGCATGAGCTAGGTCATGTAAGATTTTGAATACTCTCTTAAACTTAGTTTCTTTAGGTAATGGACTAGCCACTGAAGGACTTTAAATTGGATGCTCTTACTAGAGGTACATTTAAGATAGATCATTGTGTACCATGAAGAGAATAAATTTGACGGGGACAAGATAAGAGGTAGGGAGACTAGTCAGAGGCTTTTTCAGTAATTCAGATAATGGAGAATTAACTAGTACAGTGGTTAAAAGGATGGAAAATAAGGATGAATCTGAGAAATATTTGGAGGAAGACTATTTGGCAGCACTTAGCAATTAATTAGATGAGGCATGTGTGTGGTACTTAATTAAGGATGAGTTCTAGGTTCCTACTTTGTGACAAGATATATAGTGGTACCGCTAAATAAAAAAGAAAAAAGGAAAACAGCTCTTTGAGAAGAGACAATGACAAATCCACTTTAGTCCTAAGTTTGAGGTGCCTGTGAGTCAGCCAAATTAGGATGTTTACAAAGCAGTAAACTGTGTTTGTTGAAGCTAGAAATATTTGAGAGTCATTGGTACAGAAGTAGCTGAAGCCCTATGAATGAAAAAACCTATTTGCGAAGAGATTGTTTAGAACAGTGGTTTTTCAGGGCAGAGTAGGTTACTCTGTTGGTAGATTGAAAAAATCATTTTCAATATTAAAGATTTATTTGAAAAACAAAAGAAATATCTACATTTATGATACAAACTATAGAGAACAAAAAATTAGAAAATCTTTTTGAGAATATATAGGAAATTGACATCTATTGTTAAAGATTCCCAACTTAAAACAAGTCCCCTATGTAGAATATGAGAGGGTAAATGGTAGAAGGTCCTGGAAATTTATCTTTAGATACAGCAAAGGGAAATAATAGATATGTTTTAAAAGTGAGAAATAATGATACAGGAAGGGGGAGAAGCTTTGTGGCTGAAGAACACTACCTCCAGAGAACACCAACATTCAGGGAGCAGCTGGGGGAAAACTTCATAAGTGACAGAAAAGATGAGAACAGAAAGCGGGGAACTAAGTGAGTTCAGTGTCAGGTATGTCAAGGAAATAGTTTCAAGGGCAACAGTGAGTCTAAATGAGATAAAGACTGAAAATTGTTTGTTGAATCTGATGTTGAGAATATCATTGGTTACTCTATTGAGATCAAAGGCCCTCAGTGCAGATCTCCAAACAGTAGAGTGGAGGGATGGGACATGGGTGCCATGGGAGGGTGGATTCCATGGATCACCTTTATAAGAAGTTCGAGTGAAAAGAGGAGGAAAGGTATTGAACATTCTTAGCCTGTAAAAAACAACTTTATAAGTTTTTCAAATTGTGAGCCAGTCTTTTTTGTTGATAGTTGCTATTTTAAATCTTTAATAGGAAAAGAACAACATGGAAATAGATATGACATACCAACTAAAAGTTATACAGCAGAGCTTAGAACAAGAAGAAGCTGAGCATAAGGCTACAAAAGCACGGCTGGCAGATAAAAATAAGATTTATGAATCCATTGAAGAAGCAAAATCAGAAGCCATGAAAGGTATACTTTTTTTCCTGAGTTTTCCCGCAGCATTATACTAAGAATTGATTCTGTAGTCAACTCTTTGATTTTGAAAAATAATTTTTTACATTTTATTGTCAAATATGGGGAACTGGAGAGAAAAAAACATTAGGGAAGCTTTATATACATATCACTTTTTTCCTTTATGGCAACAGTTATTTCTAAGATAGTAAGGCCCAAACACAAAATTACTCAACCAAATTTAAGGATCAGAGAGAAATTAATATTTCAGTGGTATCAGTAGTAACAGGCATACAGAGCATGAAGTTCTAGATATATTCAGATTTGGGGGGATTTCCTCTTTTTGTAATATTTGGTTTGACATTTCACCAGTCAGTTTTTATAATAAAATTGTTGCCAGTTTATGTAAGATGAATGTTATAAAAATAATGGCTGACCTAACTAGAATATAAGCTCATTGAATATTTTGAACTCTGGCATGGTGAAGATCCTAGCTAGATTTGGTCAAAGTCATCCACTACTAAGGAGTATAGGGTACGATAACAGAGTTAACTTTTCCACAAACCAGCATGTATCTTGGAATTGTCTTAGGATAATTTCTTGTTTTCCTAACTGACTGTTTATAATTATGATGGATTTGAAGTTCCAAAGGAAATTAATAAAATACTCTTGTGAAAGATTCATAGAACTCTTAAGCAGAAGTTTTATTTCATACTGAAACATAACAGTTATGAATAACTTAGCAAAGAAATAGCTTTTCAATTATTGAATGTAATTAAAATTGGAGATTTTTTGGTTAAAATCAGTTTAGTTTAAGGCACTAATTAAGGATGTTAAGAGATTAAATGAGTGCTTTAGTTAGAAAAATCTGATTACAAGAGAGGAAGTTATTGGGTTGTGTTTCCTGTCAGTGGCTTAGTAGAAGATAGAGTTGAATTTCTTTTGAGGTATAATTGAGGTGCGATAAAATGCAGGCACTTTTCACATTGTAATACACACATGTAACCACCGTTCAAAACAACTTGTGGAATCTGTGTTTTCATCACCTCAGTAAGTTCACTTGTGCCCCTTTCTATTCTCTCTGCCCACATTAGGGTGATTTTTTTAAATGAGTACATCTGTCCATGTCTGGGTCTAAAAGCCTTTGCTCTTCTACTGCATGTCATGGCTTCCTTTGATTAAGAATATGGCTTACTAATGAATTACTAGTTATGCGACCTTGTCCACAGTTACCCTTTTTTTTTCTTTCGTTCATTGTTTCCTCTAAAGAGACAGAGTATTAGATTGTTGTGAAAACCAAGTGCAACGATGGGGGAAAGTACTTAGAAATATTAGTTGTTACTAGTAGAATGGGAAGAATAGTTTCATTTTTTCACACTTTTGAAGACAGTTCATTAAAAATTGAAAATTCATAGGTTTATATAACTGTAATCAATGATAATCAGGTATCAAGCATTAGGTACGAAAGAGCAGAGGAGCCCAATTGAATTTGAACAGATTTTCTAATCAGTACATCCAAAGGTAATTCTTTAATGGTAATAACTGGCATTTAATATGAAATCACTTGCTTAGAGATAGACTTTGCCTGCTCTTCACTTCAAGATTTAAAAAGGCTTTTAAGGGGCGCCTGGGTGGCTCAGTTGGTTAAGTGTCTGCCTTCAGCCCCACTCATGATCCTGGGGTCGTGGGATCAAGCCCTGTGTCTGGCTCCCTGCTCAGCAGGAGTCTGCCTCTTCCTCTACCCCTCCCCCTGCTCATGTTCTCACTCTCTCTCAAATAAATAAATAAAATCTTAAAAAAAAAAAGCTTTTAAAAGCCTTTTCTGATTAATAAAACAAATTAAAAATTTATTACAAATCATTTAGAAAATACAGGAAAGTATAAAGAAATAAAGATTAACCACAGTCTTACTAATCAGGAGGATATTTTGTATTTTCTCTGAAATATTTTATACTGTTTTGCATTTTTTCTTTTAAAATAATACTGTGAACATTCTCCTCAGGTCATTAAACGTTCTCCTTGAATAGTGAGCACTTATCAAATGCTTGTCATTTGCCAGGCAGCATTTAAGTGCCGCACAAATATTAACTCAGAATCTTTTCATAACATCCCTATGAGGGAGGATAGGTACTGTTATCACCATTCTAGAGATGAGGAAATTGAACCTCAGAGAGGTTAATTAACTTGCCCAGGCAAATAATTAGGACATGTTAGAGTTAGGGTTTAACCTCAGGAAGTTTGGCCCCAGAGTTTTGTCCTTTATCATTTCCCCAAAATATAATTGTCATCCTCTGCATAGTAATATGCTAATATGGAAAGAGCCATAGACATCATAAAAAATCTACCTGGAATGTTTAGGGTAAGAAGAGGAACACCGAGAGGCACAGAGTAGCAGGAAAATAAAATAAATATTTATTAAAAAGATGTAAGACTCTTTTAGAACCATCAGTGAAGGCAGAATTATTTTACTTCCATTGGAATAGATGTAATATTGCAGTGTGGTAGATTTTTCCACACTGCAAATGAAATAAATGCCTGAATTCCAAGCATGAAACTGTTGACATTTCAAACTCATTAAGAAGGGTGATGAAAATATTAAATTGGAAATTTAAAAAATGTTTTTAAGCTATCATCATTTACTGTGATTTTTATAGCACTGTGTCATGCATGTATTTGATACGCATATTTTGTTTGTGAACTCATGATTGTGTCCATTTTTGTGGCAATAGAAATGGAGAAGAAGCTCTCAGAGGAAAGGATGTTAAAGCAGAAAGTGGAGAACCTATTGCTGGAAGCTGAGAAGAGATGCTCTCTATTTGACTGTGACCTCAAACAGTCACAGCAGAAAATCAATGAACTCCTTAAACAGAAAGATGTGCTAAATGAGGATGTGAGTATGAAGTTTACTAATAAGTAATAATAAACTATGTAATAAATTCATAGTCAGGTTTATCTGTAATGATGTGTAATGATAGTTTCATAATTTAAAATTTTTTCTTATAATATTCTGCAGCCTTTAATTTTATTGCATTTGGCTGATAATGCTAAATAATGACACATAATTTAAAAATTTTTAAGTTATTTTTACCTTAAAGACCATATTTTATTTAAAAAATAGGACATCAGAAATATGTAAAAATATATTCCCATGAAATGAATTAACTGCCTAAGGGCAAAGTCTGTTCTGCATGATCATATTTGCTGCAAGCTTCATTGACAAGAAAAATCAAATCATTACTTATATTTTACCAAGTAGACAATTTATTTTTTAGGTTAGAAATTTGACATTAAAAATAGAGCAGGAAACTCAGAAGCGCTGCCTTACACAAAATGACTTGAAGATGCAAACACAGCAAGTTAACACACTAAAAATGTCAGAAAAGCAGTTAAAACAAGAGAATAATCATCTCATGGAAATGAAAATGAGCTTGGAAAAGCAGAATGCTGAACTTCGAAAGTAAGTAAATTGAGACAAAGTTTTATTAATATGTACAACTATCCACATGTAAATTATCTTAATTTTGATTTACCTGGGGATTTTCTTTTGATCATGTCATAGTCTTGACCACATTTGCCCTTTTTTTTCTGTATAAGTAATGTGTTGAGTGCCACTGTTGTCCTTCAAGAAGATTATATTTGCTTCCCCAATGATTTCTTACTACTTCTACCTTATTATGATAGAATGATAGAATGTTGCTGTTGGACTAGAAGAAATACTCTGGGATTTTCACTTCATGCTCTTAAGATTCCTTCTCAGCACTGTTCTTCAAGCTTACTGTCCATGTGCTTTTTGTTTGTTCCTTCAGTTTCTGGGACTTGGACATGTTTGATTATTAAGCAAATATATAAATTTTTAAATCATTTTTATGATACACTTTAGTATTCTTTTTAATTTGCTTGGAAAATAGAAAACAGAGTGTTTAAAATCCTTTAAGGTGTACAGTAAATATACCATTAAAGTTTGTCCCATTCCGTCATTAATAGTATAAATACTTCTTCTGAATCATGATCAAAGGTCATATTGGATCCCAGTTATTTGGAAAGAACATAGGCTTTGGATACAGATTGAGGTATGAATTCCAATCCCGTTACTTCCTAGCTGACCAACATCAGGCAAAATATTTAACCTCTCTGAGCCTTTTTTTTTTTTTTTAAGTTTTATTTATTTATTTTAGACAGTGAGAGAGCACGAGCAGGGTGGGGGCAGAGGGAGAGAATCCTCAAGCAGACTCCCCACTAAGCGCAGAGCCCAATGTGGGGCTCAGTCCCAGGACCCTGAGTTCATAACCTGAACTGAAATCAAGAGTAGGACACTTAACTGACTGAGCCATCCAGGTGCCCCCTTTTTGAGCCTTTTATCATAAAACCTACAAAAAGGGGCAGTAAGAGCTTCCTTGTTAGGCATTCTGTAAGGATAACAATGATACATTTATAGCATCTAGCACACAATAAACGGTAGGGGCCATTACTAGTACAGCTGTTACTGTTAATACTGCTATACTGCAGGGATGCCTCAGTGACTCAATCAGTTAAGCGTCTACCTTCAGCTCAGGTCATGATCCCAGCGTCCTAGGATCAAGTTCCACATCGGGCTCCCTGAACAGCAGGGAGCCTGCTTCTCCCTCTGCCTGCCACACCCCCTGCTTATGCACACGCTCTCTCTCTCTTTCTCATTCTGACAAATAAATAAAATCTAAAAAGAAAAAAACAACCCCAAGACTACTATACTACTGCGACTATTCCTCTCTTCTTATCATCACTGCTAATTGCTTGCTTTTTACAGACCTGTGACAGGTCAAGAAGATTGACACTATTTAGGAAAGGATGACCAAGCATTCTTATATTGACACTGTCTAGGAAAGGATGATTTAAAAGATTTTGTTCTTTTTGCTGATCTGTTACCTGGGTAAGCCTAGACTCTTAAACTTGATGAGATTTCAACTTTTGAAAATTAGAACTAGAAACTTGAACAATATTTAGGTATCTTCATCTTTGTTTTTTGTTTTTGTTTTTTCCCTATATATTAGCTTTATTCTTCTCTCTCATTTTAGACCTAGTTTTTTCCATTTAACAGAAAACTTGGTCTTTAAAGAAGGACAAGCTGTAGAGATATATCTTATAGCTTCATTTATTTGGAGAGACTCTGATTTGACTTTTCGGGACCCCAATTTCAGAAAGTACCCTAAGTTCTGGGATGGAATTCATTGGCCCAGTTTTGGTCAAGAGTGCAAGCTGTGGACCCTTAAAACAACTTGACTAAATAGATATTCTCCATAGTATCTGCTCTAACCATAGTGGTTATGTGAATGTAAGAGCTGATTAAACATCTAGATTGTGTTTCCTCTCTTGATCTAATTACATTTTGTTTATACCAAATTTATAGTACTTACTGTATATGCCCCTCGTTTTCTTTGTAAGTACACATGGATCTGTTGTTTCTTAATCCTTCAGTTCCTAACCCCCTTTCCCCCAAAGAACTCACATTTGTTGTCTTAACCACCTAGTACATTATAAGTTCACTGAATGGCAACCATCTCTTTTAATGTTTTGTTCTCTCCAACCGCTAATTAATGTCTTGCACATAGTACCTTCTGAAATGTTGCATGAATGAATGCTTACCCGTAATGTGTAAGGCACTCATAGTCACTGTGGGAGATTCAAAGATGAATCAGGTACATTTCCTACCTTTAAGAATCTTAGTAGCATTTTATCAGAAGTTACTCCTTAGGGAGAAGTAAGATGGTACGTAAGTAATTGGAATACCAGGATAAAATGATACATACATGCAATGGGAATTTACATATGAAGTGCTATATGTAGGCTTGCATTTGAAAATGGTCAACATACATATCTTTTCTTCCTTCCAAGATTCCAATAAAACTTTAGTAAAGGAATTTTTTAAATGCATAAATCCGTATGAAGAATTACAAGGGATTGGAAGACAAGAAGTTTCTTTAGTAAATGAGGTAGTGGCAAGTAGAAACCTCACTAATGATGTACAGGGCAGAGGAAGCAGCAGCCAGGAGTATGTACGAAGTGAGGTATTAGTGAAGAAGAAAATGTTTCAGGGGCGCCTGGGGGGCTCAGTCGTTAAGCGTCTGCCTTCGGCTCAGGTCCTGATCCTGGGGTCCTGGGATCGAGCCCCTCATCGGGTTCCCTGCTCCGCGGGAAGCCTGCTTCTCCCTCTCCCACTCCTCTGCTTGTGTTCCTTCTCTTGCTGTCTCTCTCTGTCAAATAAATAAATAAAATCTTAAGAAAGAAAGAAAGAAATTGGGCATACCCTTTGCAGATAATTAGAGCTGCTAGTATGGAGTGAGTTCTCATTTTGCCTTTTAGGGGTCCCCTGCTTATGTGGCTTTTTAAGCCTCTCATCTTAAACTGAAGTTTGCCAGGTAGAAAACCCCTTCCACATGCATAGAGATTAAAATTTCTATCATCTCCTTTGTAAGTGAATAACCAAGTATCACTAGGCATTTGAGGATAGTGTGCAGTATGAAAGAGAAAGACTATGATAAAGAAAAAGGAAACATATCCCCAGATGAAAAATATATCAAGGAAAGAAGAGAAATTAACAAAAAGAAGCACAAACCCAAAAAAAGCCTGTTGGTAATAATTAGAATTGATCAAAAACTTGTAGGAGATACTGCTTCCATTAAACAAGAACCTGGCATAATGCAAAAAGGGCAGCCAGAATAGGAAGAGCTGTCAAAGGTTAAGAATGACTCATATACATGTATTAGGATGGTTCAAAGAAAAATTCAAAGAAATTTCATCAGACATAGAACAAGAGGGAATGACATGGAAGATATGAGAGAAATAGGTAAGACACAGAGACTGTCCCAGGAGTTCCAGCACCAAAAAAGTCTAGAGAAACCAAGTGGAGGAAGTTATTAAGTAATAGGGGCATCTGGGTGGCTCATTCAGTTGTCTGCCTTCAGCTCGGGTCATGATCTTGGGGTCCTGGGATTGAGCCCCAGCTCAGGCTTCCTGCTCATTGGGGGGTTTGCTTCTCTTTCTCCCTTTGACCTCCCCCTGCTTATGCTCTCGCTCTCTCTCTTGCACTTTCTCTCTCAAATAAATAAAATCTTTAAAATATATATATATATAAAACAGTTTCCTATAGCTGAAAGAGAAGTCTTTATATTGAAAGGACTCAGCAGGAAATAAATGAGAAAAGACCCACATTTAGACATGTTCTCATGCAATTTCAAAAACAAGATAAAGGATGGGAGTGTTGCAGTTCCTCATCACAAACTGGGGTGGGGGGTTGTGGTTTGTGGTTGATGCAGTAGGAAGTGAAGCGTGGTTATGTGGCTGAGGCCAGTGATACACCTGTATTATAGGGGTTGGGGAGAGGTTAGGGATGCTAAGAGCTCACTTCCTATTTTGGCAGTGGAGAATTGGTAAATAATATTTTAAATTTGTGTCCAGATTTAAATAAGCTGAGATGTGGAGGTAATTGTCAAAAGGACAGAACACAGAAGTGAAACAAAGTAAATTCCTCTAGGGGAGTAGGATTAGGGTGTCTAGGGTGTGGATAAGGAGACTGTTACCTTTCATTGTAATTTTTTCTGTGTATTCTGTAGTATTTAATTGCAACCATGTGCATATTATGTTTTTTTTTGAAAAATACTTTTCTTAAATACCTGATAAATATTGGGTTTTTAAAGTTACATGTAAACGAATGATAGCAGCTTGTCAAGATCACAGTCGTAAAAGTATACCTGAGGTTTGCTGCAAGTGAGCTTCCGCTGGTAATGATGAGATCATCTTAAAAATTGACCTTTTATATATTATTATTAGCATCTTCCACATTTTTGATTCAGGAAAATAAGAATCATCATTTTTAATAGTACACACCTTAACAATAAAATACAGATACAACACAGACAAGTGATATTGAATGATAACTTCCTTTGTATTGAGGTTTTAAGAACCAATAAGTAAACAAAGTGACCAAATTATGTTAAAAAGAGTAAAAGCCTTAAGTAATACGCAGATTGAAAATAATATGATTAAATCATTTGATCTGAGTCTTTCTTCCTGTATATATATATATTTTTAAAGATTTTATTTATTTATTTGACAGAGACAGTGAGAGAGGGAACACAAGCAGAGGAATTGTGAGAGGGAGAAGCAGGCTTCCTGCGGAGCAGGGAACCCGATGCAGGGCTCGATCCCAGGACCCTGGGATCATGACCTGAGCCGAAGGCAGACGCTTAACGACTGAGCCACCCAGGCGCCCCCTTCCTGTATATATTTTTAAATATCCAAGTGGCATTCAAATGTTTTCTCCCTATAAAATTCTCAGAACTATAATTAAAAAGAAAAACAGTATATGCTCCTCTTTATTTTTTATTTTTATTTTTTTAAAGATTTATTTATTTAAAGATTTTATTTATTTGAGAGAGAGAGAGGGTGAGAGAACACAAGCAGGGGGAGTGGCAGAAAGAGAGGGAAGCAGGCTCCCCGCTGAGCAGGGAGCCTGACCCAGGGCTCTAGCCCAGGTCCCTGAGATCATGACCTGACCCGAAGGCAGATGCTTAACCCGACTGAGCTACCCAGGCACCCCTTATTTATTTATTTTAGGGAGAAAGAGAGCACGTGTTGGGGTGGGGAGGGAGAAGGAGAGATAGAATCTCAAAAATCTCCGTGCTGAGCATGGAGCCTGATACTGGGCTCAGTCCCACAACCCTGAGATCATGACCTCAGCAGAAATCAAGAGTTGGATGCCTAACCGATTGAGCCACCTAGGCACCCCCATTTCCCCTTTATGAATGCAGACATAGTTCATCTTTCCAGAGAGAACAGTAGCAGTTTGTTAGTTATCCTTCCATACCTTCTTACTTGTCTCTCCTATATACATCTGTATAAGTGTATATAGGGTTGAGTTTTTTGTAGATTTGGGGTTTTTTTTTGTTTTTTTGTTTTTTAATTGTATCATATATGTTGTGTTGTTCTCCAACTTGATTTTTCCCCCTTAGCTTTGAGTTGGAATAATTGTAATTTTTATGTTTGTTTTTTTTTAATAACCCAAACGTTTAACTTACTTCAACCCAACCTCCTAAATGGGTTGTTAGGCTTGCTTTTTTTTTTTTTTTACTTATTTTTTATTTACCTTTATTTCTTTATTGAAGATTAATATACATACAGAAAAAAATACACAAATATGTAGCGCTCAATGAATTTTTATAATATGTACAGATCCGTGCACATTTAACATCCACATTTAAACATAAAAATGAGCACTCCTTTCCTCCTCCCTGTCATTTTTTTAGTCATCCTAAGATAACCAATTTTCAGGTGCTCTTTTAATTCTACTTGGTTGGCAGAAATGGCTGATTACAGTGAATGTTTGAGAATATGTAATTTAGTATTACTGCTTTAATCGCTACTTGATTTCAGGACCCCTTTATACTCTTAAAAATTATCTTAAAATTTTTTATTTATGTGAGTTATATCTAATGGTATTTTTTTGTGTTAGAAATTAAAACAGAAAATTTTAAAACACAAGAGCATACAAACACACATTCATTAGCTGTTGGAATGATGAATCATTATGTTATATAACTTCAAGAAAAGTCCATATGCACTCGTGAGAGGATGAGAATTAAAACAACAATGCAGTGATGATTAGTATTAGGAAAATAACTTGACCTCTTGGGGTTTTTTTTAAGGGTCTGGGGATGCCCAGTGGTTCCTTAGGCCACATTTCAAGAGTTGCTAGTTTATTATGTGTGTAGCTTTTTTGAACCTTTGCTTCAATTTCCCCACAGAGAACGTCAAGATGCAGATGGGCAAATGAAAGAACTTCAGGATCAGCTTGAAGCAGAGCAGTATTTCTCAGTAAGTTCCAGATACGTTAATTTGAAAATTATTGCATTTGTAGAATATAAAAAATTTTTTTGCTACAGAACTAGGAGAATGATTCTTGTCTTTAGAACAGATTCTTATAGTGAATACCAGACAGGGATTTGGATAGGATGTTTTGTACCACACAATTCATATAAAAAGAACAGCTGGGCAAATGACTGTTGATAGCTTAACAGAGATCTGTTATCATTGCTAGAATGATAGTTCTAATGCACAATACCCTATGAAGTTGATTAAAAAAAGGACGGCTTTTTGAGGTAGAATTTTCATAGTGAAAGAAATAAAATTGTCATTTTAATGTTTGTACTTTTTTAGATCGGTTTTAAAATATGACGTAGTAATGTCACCTGTGTTTCATTTAAGCCAACAAAATTTTCTTGTCTAAATTAGTAATATTTTGGGGCACCTGGGTGGCTCAGTCGTTAAGTGTCATTAAGTGTCTGCCTCTGGCTCAGGTCATGATCCCAGGGTTCTGGGATCAAGCCCCGCATCAGGCTCCCTGCTTGGCAGGAAGCCTGCTTCTCCCTCTCCCACTCTCCCTAATTGTGTTCCTGCTCTCGCTCTCTCTCTCTGTCAAATAAATAAATTAAAAAAACTTAAAAAAAATAAATAAATTAGTAATTTTTCTTTGCCTCTTTATTTATTCTGCCAGTCGGGGTCATTTAATGAGAAACCTCAGTCTGATATCCAGTTGAAAATCTAACTTCTAAATTACTAGTGGAACTTTTATTAGTTGATTTGCTTTGTAGAAAAAAATTGATGATGATGGTGGTGATGGTGGTGGTGGCAGTGACATGCTTCTGTTCTGTTTTGCTATTTAGACCCTCTATAAAACACAGGTGAGGGAACTTAAAGAAGAATGTGAAGAAAAGACCAAACTTTGTAAAGAGTTACAACAGAAGAAACAGGACTTACAGGAAGAAAGGTAAAAATAAGATCCTTGTCTCTTTTGTTCATAGTCATGTACTCTTCTAGAACAGTGCCTACTATACTCCAAGTAAGAATTTGTTGATGAAGTGCATTACACAAAAACTTTGACCTCCTAGTGAAAATTGGACATTAAAATAACGTATCATTAAAATGTAGGGACTCCTTGGCTGCTCAACTGGAGATCACCTTGACCAAAGCAGATTCAGAGCAGCTGGCTCGTTCAATTGCTGAAGAGCAATATTCTGATTTGGAAAAAGAGAAAATCATGAAGGAGCTTGAGATCAAAGAGATGATGGCTAGACACAAACAGGAACTCACTGAAAAAGATGCTACAATTGCATCTGTAAGTAAAATTTTCAGTTCTTTTTTGATTTTAATTAAATTACTATATCATCAGTCTTCCTTAAAAGCACTAGGGAAGTACTACAGATGGAAATGAAAAATCTTATGTGCTGGCTATAGGATTTTGGGTCCAGTGAACATTAGCTTCTCAGTGTTTGGCAGACAGAGGCTCAAAAAAGAACTACTTCCAGTGGCGCGCTACCTTTTGGTAAATTCAGAGTGAAAGAACTAAAGTGAAAGGGAAATACCAGACGCAGAAACAGTATAAGCCTTTTTTTTTTCCTTGTCAAACAAAGTTTAGTTGAAAAGAATCTTGAAACTACCATGAAGGTACTTCTATGGCAGGTTGAAAAAAATTGTAGTGAAAATTTCAAAGAGGAGTAAAATATTAAGTAGTTGAATTTGTCCTTAAATTGCTACAGTGGTTAGAAAGTGTGGTATTGGAACAAGGATTTTTAATCCTATTCAGTGGAAATGAATAGGGAGGCCAGAACCAGATTCATGCACGTATAGGAATGTGGTATATGGTTGTAGTGGTAATAGACACATCGGTGGAAAAGGATTCAGATGTAATAAATGGTTTGGGATGACTCTATTTTTATAGGGAAGGAATCAAGTTAGATCCTTTTACAACATAACAAAAATAAATTCTAGCTATCTTAAAGACCTAAGTGTGAAAAAGAAAAATTTTAAACAATTAGAACGAAATCCAAAACTTA